TTGAAGATAAATGATTGAAAATTATATTATATAAAATTCTTTCTAAAATTTTAGAAAAAACAGGCAAAATCGAAATAGGGCGATAATTTGAAACATTGGTTGAATTCCCCCCTTTAAATATTGGTGAAACTCTGGCTATTTTTAAATTGTCGGGGAAAATACCCTGTTTTATTGAACATTTGAAAATTTGAAATAGAATATCTTTAATGACTCCATACGAGTCGATAATAACATTGCAATAAATATCATCATAACCAACTGATTTATTAGATTTAAGCTTTTTAAAAGAAAGTTCAAATTCCTCAAAGGATAACTCAAAGGAGTATATTTCATTTAGTTTAACAGCAAAACCCCATTTTCTGCACAACAAAGAATATAAAACAGCTATTTGTAAACTAAGCCATTGCAAAAAAATATTGAAAATTAAACTTCATTTGCATCTACTTCAGTTACATAAAATAAGTTTAAAAGCAGCACTTGCACGTTCTCCAATATCAGATTGTACATGATGACAGATGGAGCATAATGAAAAAAATTGAAAAACTATTACAGATCAATCAACATAGCGCTTTTCTCGTGGTATTTAACTGGCTATTATTTCAGTTTTATATAATACGTTGGCATCAATTTTTACGTAGAGACAGTTAGTCGAGGAAGTTGATTATTATTTATTTAAATATACATTAAAAATTTTGAAAATGAATCTTAATTTAGTAAAAGCTTTGAACCAGATAGCAACGATGATGGTGATAAGAGTTGCTTTACAGTAGGTAATCAAGTAATTGAAGATGTAATAATTACAAACAAAACAATTGGTCCTGTGATTATTAAAGTTAGAAAAAACGGTTTTTAAAAGATCACAAACTATAAATGATGAAGTAGCTTACTATCAATGCTTTAAAGGTTTCATAGATTAAAAAAATTGCATAAAAAAGGGGCTTGTTGATATTAGTATCTAAATATTAATGATATTATATCTATATATTAATGGTTCTATAAAAATGTCAGATAATGAGTATGACTTTGTTTCTGAACTAGTGAACGTGCTTATTCTAGTAAGTTCAGTAGTAATTTCAGTAAGTAACTCCAGTAATTCTAGTAAGCAGCAGTGAAAGCACTTTGTCGACTCGATGCAAACTTAATAACTGCTGTGTTGCGTTTAAGTTTATGTTTTAAAAAAAGTGAATAATACAATAAGTTGTCAAATTTTTAATTCTTTTGCCCCCAGAACCAAAGAACTAAATTAAGCAGTCTATTAAGTCTATTAAGCAAAATCTACATTACTAAGAAAACAAATTAACGCCCACAGGTGAAGTTTCTGAAATATCTTTAAATTTTTAAAAATAAAAAAGTAATGTTGAAGTTTCTAAAGAGATTAAATATAACATATTTAAATCACCGACAAATTCCTTGGACAACGTTGAAGGTTTAATGAAGAAATTAAAGTGAAGAATATGATGAAATACCGAAAAGTGCAGATAATGAAATGCCGATAACTATTAGTAAGCAACTAAATTAAAGAAAAAAGTTCTCTAGCAACACCCAGAAATTCTTTGTCAAGAATTTCTGGCAAAACTCTTACTTTTAAATTATCAAAAGAAATGTCATTCTTTAAAAGTGGTTGTATATAGGGTTTTTGAAAGTTTATGATTTATTAATGATGATGAAACCTTCGAGCGTTGCTTCAAAACGCCAGTTTTCCTCCACATGACTATTTTGCAATAAAATATTAATTCACTTAAGTGATAATATTTTAGATAGTTTGAACTTTCAGCAAACATATTTTTTAAAGACAAAAATAAATTACATTACCTGCAAGTTTTATTCATTTTACTACAATATACATAATTAAGGTAAGACTTTTCTTTTAGTTTTAAACATAAAATAATGTCGGGAACTCCTGTGAATTTCCGGGAATTATTGTATAACCACAAATTCATTGAATAGAAGTTCTCTGGGTTTTTGCAAACCAAAGTTTTTAACTTATACTTACCCTTGTTAGTATGATATTTTAAAAAAGGTGAATATTGTAATTAAGAATCTTTAATCCCAGAATATAGAAATCAGTTATTTTATAGAAATATTTTACAGTCTTTTAGGACAATTGAAATTATATAGAACAACAGTTCTGCCCAAATTCAACTGACGGAGTGTAAAGACGGTTTTTATCCTAAACTTTAAATATGGATGAGTTCGTGCCTATAAAACCATTTTTGTGCGATGTTCTTTAACATTGCTTCCATCAAAAGACAACAGCAGCTGAGGCGCTTAGAATATTAGTGGAAACATACGGTGACAATGCTTTTTCAGAACAAACATGTAGAAGGTAGTTTCAACAATTCAACGAATGTGATTTTGATCTCAAAGTTGAAGAACAACCCAATGCTGAAAAAGTTTGAAGATACTAAATTAAAGGTATCACTTTATGAAGATCCAATCAATCAACTGCGTCTAGGCGTTTAAAACAACTGGAAATGATTTAAAAGCAAAGGTATTGTACCTTGTAAGTTATAAGGTACCATATAGTTTGAAACCAAGTGATGGTGGAAGACTTTTACCTGCTATCAGCTGCTTGCGCAACAAAAAATAAAAAGTTTTTCTTATCATATTGTGCTTGGTTAAAAAAGTAGATACGTTACGCAACTCTAAACGCAGAAGAACATGGTTTAGGCTCGGTGAGCTATGAACATGGATAAACCTGAATATTTATGGTTCCTAGCCCATGTTCTATATTTAGTGGGACCAGCTCGGAATAATATCTTATGAGCTTCTTAAAGCAAACGAGAAAGTTACAGCAGATTTCTAGCTACGACAGTTGATCAAGTTGAGTTAAGCATTGAATGATAAAAGGCTACATTATGTCGAAAGACATGACAAGTTTAATCTTCAAGATGAGAACGCACAACCCTGTGCTGCAAATACTATAAAATAAACTACCGTGAGAACCTCAAACAAGAAGTTCTACATTTACTCGCCGTATTGCCAACTCCTATTACTATTTTTTTTGGTCAATGAGACATGGCTTGGTTAAGCAGCGATTTTTTTTTTATTACAATACCAAAAAAGGGTCGATGATAGGATCGCCTTAAAAGACCAAGATATTTTCTAGCGTGGAATCTGCGTGCTACCTGAATAATGGGAGAAGGTTGTAGGCGCCGACTGACAATATTTTTAATGGTCTGAGTCTGATAGTCTTCTCAAAATAAACTGTAGATTTTTATTTTAAAAAAACGCTCATTTTCAATGCTCACTCATTTTTTTTTTTATTATTTTAATTATTATTTTAATTATTGTTGTTATTATCAATCAACAAAATTTTATTTTAAGACTTTTTTTTTCACAACTAGTCCTATAATTAAAATTATGATAATTTTAATTATGATAATTTTAATTATGATAATTTTAATTATGATAATTTTAATTATGATAATTTTAATTATGATAATTTTAATTATGATAATTTTAATTATGATAATTTTAATTATGATAATTTTAATTATGATAATTTTAATTATGATAATTTTAACTATGATAATTTTAATTATGATAATTTTAATTATGATAATTTTAACTATGATAATTTTAATTATGATAATTTTAATTATGATAATTTTAATTATGATAATTTTAATTATGATAATTTTAATTTAGGATCTCTTAATAGTGTATTGTCCTGGGCCTCGCAAACTAAGTCGCCGTCCTTGAGAACAGCTAATTTAATTAATATCAATGTTAGATGGAAGTAGATTACTCAAGTAACAGAAAAAAAGGGTCTTCTTTTGGACTAGAATCTCTGGAATAAAGTTCACACCATATGTTTTGGTATAACAGCTTCACACACAAGTGAGTAAATTCAAAACGACCTTAAAAGACTTTACCTTTATTTGATTTTTAATAACATCTAGAGAAACTACCCTGCTAACATTGTTTTAATAGATTTGCAGTGGAAATATATAGGCATTTTTAGCGGTTCATTGGAGTTTTGCTCATAAGTTACTTGTTGAATCATTAGAGGCCGCTGCCGTTAATGGCTAGCCATTAACTTTTAGACATATTAACATTGGCTAGTTATCAGCTAGCTACTTTTTGCGGCTGTCACTAATGGTTCATTAAGTAACTTATGAGCAAAACTACAGTAGTCCGCTCAAAATGCTAATACAGATCCAATGGATTTCCGCTATAAAATGTTTGCTGGATATGGTTTGCCTAAAGAAATCACGTCTATAAGTTCCACATAATAGTGGTTAAGTTTTCTATTAATATTTTTATTTTGTTTAGAATTGCTAATTTTAACTATGTTATTAATGCTTTAATATTGGAGTTTTGTAATTTCAGCCTATGACAGAAAGTCTTTAAAAAGAAAATTTTCAAGAAAAGAAAATATTCCAAATAGCTTGGAAATCAAACCCAAGATTAATTTAAAAAACTTCAATAAGTTTAACTTAAAGATGAGAGTAAAGATGAGAGTGAAAAAAGAGCTTCTGTACAACATGGTAAAAAAACTAGGTTTAAATCAAATTTATATAAAATTCGTCAACAATTTCTACTTTATTTGTTTGCATGCGAATAATGTTAAGAACTATTTTAAAGCTATACTTTTAAGAAGAGAGTGTACTTGTATTAATTACAAATATTTAAAAGAGTTTATGTTGGTATGATCGGAAAGTTGCAAATAAAATACTTTTTTTTTCGTAAACTTATCGCAATAATGCATCCAAGATTTTTTACTTAATATTTATAGTATATGGCAATTGAATCGTCGTCCAATTGGATGAATGATAGTATTGCAGATTTAATCACTGACAAAGAGTTTAGAAAATCGCAGTTATCACAGGGTTGTTCCATGCAAGGTGGTTTTTGTTAGCTAGAAGACTTCTATCTACTACCTGATTTGGTAAGAAAATATTTAAATAATAATAATATAGTATATAAATAATTATTATGAACATGATAAAAACTATTTATAGATAAAAAAATTATAGAAGAAAAAAAACAACATATTTTTATGCATGATTGTAAACCTTTTTAATTTTAACTATATGATGCTTACAGGTGTTTATGAATCAATTGATTGTGTTTAATGACACTTAAGAAAGAAAACTAAGAATTGACACATCTCTGCCAGAATAAAGGTTTGAAAGACTCTCCATTACTTTCTGTGACTTACCCAAAAAGAATTACTAAATTTAAAAAATCTTAAAATCCTTTTATAATTAGTTTTGTTATTGGTTATTTTTTTCATTATTTGATATTGAATTATGAAAACTATATGAAACTATAAAATTTTAGTGAAATTTAAGTATATATATTATTATTTAGCTGAAATAAATATTTTTCTAATCTTATTTCTGCAGATACACCCACACACAGACACACATACACAAGTGCACGCAGAAAACAATAACTTTGAAAACAACAAACAAATATTGTTTAGACAACTCTGTAGAAATTAAATTATTTACAAACTTTTATTTTATGTGAGAGTTTATTTTTGTATTAAAAATTAAATTTAAATAAATATTTGGTTATTTGCAAAAACTGTATTCTTTAGTAATTTTACACTCTTGGCATTCTACGTTGCAACACCATTTAAAAACGCAGTTACAGCTTTCAGATCTAGTTAGTTTTTCAGTTTTCCATTTACGACCGCAGCACAATTGCTCGCAACCTTCAATAGCTCCCACGGTAGCGTTACAATATCGATTTAGTGTTCCTAAAGAGCCTACATTTAAATCGTATTTGCAAAAGTTTGGAGATTCTTCTCCGTATACTATATTGTATGTGTTTTTAATTTTTGAGTTTTCAACATTTTGTGTTATTGGATAGTTGCGTGTTATTCTTCGGTTACTAAATATTTGATTTGGTTGCACTTTTGTAGCTCGGTTAAAAAGTTCTTTTAAACGATTTCCAATTTCTTGAAAAGAACTAAGTTTACGGCGGCATGTTTTCACGTTGCAGTTTCCTGATACTCCAAGACATTTACATTCTTGTTTCATCAAATCTACCACTAGCTAAATAAAAATCAAATTTATAACAATTTTTTTTCCTTTTTTTTTTCAAAAAAATAGATTAATACTAAATACCGTTCTTCCGGCTTCATTGTTATGCAAGTTAACCAACCCTTTAAAATCGCGGCTAGTTTCTTTTGCATCTGTAAAAGCCTTTCCATTTTCATACCCATATTGGATGTTGTCATGACAGCCTTCATATACCCAATCTTGTTTCTCACGTACACGATTGTTTAAGCCACTTTGGCAATGACAGCCATTAACTGCTCCTTTTGCACATCCTTCTGTTAATGCATATGTCGCACCAGCTGAAGTGATAGCGTAAATAAAAGATGTCTCTTTGCAAGCTACAAATTATATAATAAAAAACGCCAATTGCAAGTAAGTATATTAAAAAAACCACTTTATTAAACATTCCGAATATGTCATTAAACACTCTCTAAATGTTATAGTATATTATTTGTTATGTATACATAACGATTATGTGAAAATTGTTTAAAAAAAATTGTTTTTAGAAAAAAATTTAAGACTAAAAAATATTAAACTAAAATATAAGACTAAAAAATTATAAAACTAAATTATAAGACTAAAAAATTATAAAACTAAAATATAAGACTAAAAAATATAAAACTAAAATATAAGACTAAAAAATTATAAAACTAAAATATAAGACTAAAAAATATAAAACTAAAATATAAGACTAAAAAATATAAAACTAAAAAACAAGACTAAAAAAATATAAAACTAAAATATAAGACTAAAAAATATAAAACTAAAATATAAGACTAAAAAATATAAAACTAAAATATAAGACTAAAAAATATAAAACTAAAATATAGGGCTAAAAAATATAAAACTAAAATATAAGACTAAAAAATATAAAACTAAAATATAAGACTAAAAAATATAAAACTAAAATATAAGACTAAAAAATTATAAAACTAAAATATAAGACTAAAAAATATAAAACTAAAATATAAGACTAAAAAATATAAAACTAAAAAACAAGGCTAAAAAAATATAAAACTAAAATATAAGACTAAAAAATATAAAACTAAAATATAAGACTAAAAAATATAAAACTAAAATATAAGACTAAAAAATATAAAACTAAAATATAGGGCTAAAAAATATAAAACTAAAATATAAGACTAAAAAATATAAAACTAAAATATAAGACTAAAAAATATAAATATAAGACAAAAAATATTAAACTAAAATATAAGACTAAAAAATATAAAACTAAAATATAAGACTAAAAAATATAAAACTAAAATATAAGACTAAAAAATATAAAACTAAAATATAAGACTAAAAAATATAAAACTAAAATATAAGACTAAAAAATATAAAACTAAAATATAAGACTAAAAAATATAAAACTAAAATATAAGACTAAAAAATATAAAACTAAAAAACAAGACTAAAAAAATATAAAACTAAAATATAAGACTAAAAAATATAAAACTAAAATATAAGACTAAAAAATATAAAACTAAAATATAAGACTAAAAAATATAAAACTAAAATATAGGGCTAAAAAATATAAAACTAAAATATAAGACTAAAAAATATAAAACTAAAATATAAGACTAAAAAATATAAATATAAGACAAAAAATATTAAACTAAAATATAAGACTAAAAAATATAAAACTAAAATATAAGACTAAAAAATATAAAACTAAAATATAAGACTAAAAAATATAAAACTAAAATATAAGACTAAAAAATATAAAACTAAAATATAAGACTAAAAAATATAAAACTAAAATATAAGACTAAAAAATATAAAACTAAAATATAAGACTATAAAATATAAAACTAAAATATAAGACTAAAAAATATAAAATTAAAATACAAGACTAAAAATTATAAAACTAAAATATAAGACTAAAAAATATTAAACTAATATAGAAGACTAAAAAATTATAAAACTAAAATATAAGACTAAAAAATTATAAAACTAAAATATAAGACTAAAAAATATAAAACTAAAATATAAGACTAAAATATTATAAAACTAAAATATAAGACTAAAAAATATAAAACTAAAAAATAAGACTAAAAAATATAAAACTAAAATATAAGACTAAAAAAATATATAAAACTAAAATATAAGACTAAAAAATATAAAACTAAAATATAAGACTAAAAAATTATAAAACTAAAATATAAGACTAAAAAATATAAAACTAAAATATAAGACTAAAAAATATAAAACTAAAATATGAGACTAAAAAATTATAAAACTAAAATATAAGACTAAAAAATATAAAACTAAAATATAAGACTAAAAAATTATAAAACTAAAATATAAGACTAAAAAATATAAAACTAAAATATAAGACTATATATCTAAGAAATTATAAAACTAAAGTAAAGTATTAAAGTAAAACTTTAATTAAATTTAAATTAAAACGATTTTTATAGTTTTTATAGTATAACTTAATTCAACACAGGGTTCGTCTTTAAATTACGTCAAGCTTAGGGAGGGAGGGGGGGAAGAGGAGGCGATTTTATGACGGTTTGTTACAAGGGAAAGGGAGGGGTCTCGGTTTTGTGATGCAACATTTTTTTTTCTAGTTTTAAATCTAGGGCAGACATTCTTTTAATTAAAAGAGTATCTGGCCAAGCCAAAACCCTCAGTTGATGTACCTACATGTTGATTGTAAAAAAAACTACGTTTAAATTTTTACCAAATTTTAGTCGATGTGTACGGTCCATTAACGGAGTAGTTACAGCCTGTTAAAAGACTGTTGCGGCTGTAACAGTTTATGAGTAGTGCACGTTCTGCGTTTTGACTTTATATGTTAAGAACTTTATTTATTTAGTGCAAAAAGTGTGTAGCAACAAAAAAATAACCTTTGAGCACAAACTAGAAATTAAAATATATATCGATACCAAATGGCGAACCTTTTGGTATCGATATATATTCTTCCTCAGGCTAACGAATCCTCGATTCGTTAGCCTGAGGCGGAATTTACTAGACCACACTAACAATTTAAGTTATTAGAAAATTATATAATAAAATAATATTTTTGCATCTATAATATATTATATTGTATTATTACGTTTTATATTATATATATATATATATATATATATATATATATATATATATATATATATATATATATATATATACATATTTATATATATACATATGTGTATAAATGATCTTTTCATTATTTACTACATTAATTAATTTACAAAAAAATGATTTTTTACACATAAACCTTCAAATGAAACAATAAAAACTAAACATAGTATTCAACTTACCTCTCTGAAGAATTTTTCCAAAAACGGATTCTGGACTATAATCGGAGCAGTTCCAACGACTGTTAATGAACTGTCTTTTGCACTCTTGAATTGCCATTGCAGCACCTTTACCAATAGAAAATAAAAGTTCTGGAGATTGCTTTAATAGTAAACGTTGATTTTTGCTAAACTTGTGTGTTGCTAAAATACTTTGTACTGAAGTATCTTTCATGTTAGTTTTACCAACCGTCCTTAAGTTATTTAAAAAAAATAAATTTAGATAAATTAATGAAATTAAATTTATAAAAATAAACTAAATATATAAAAATAAATCAAGTTATATAAACAACTACTTGATAAGGGATAAGCTTTACGGTAAAAAGAATAAAAAGGTAAAAATACACTGCATTACTCCATAAGCTAGTTTTTTTTTTTTCGTAATGTTTTTCAAAGTAGTTTTCAATAACATCGTGTATACATATGATAATAGTTAATATAAGGACTTCTAGAAAATAACATAGATCTTATCACGAAGCCATTTTTAATATATAGTTTTAAAAATTATTAATCAATTATTGGTATTAGGTTTTTGAGTTTATTTATTAGAATTATTAAGACATGGCTCCATGAAAATGCTGAAAATGATCTTTCCCCGTGTCCCTGCAACTTATTAAAACTAAATCCATCAAAATCTGTTGAGTAAAATTGAAAACAAAAGTCTAAACAGAACTCAAGCTCACTTGCAGATATGAGAGTTACGACCAAATATCGTTTCTAGTTGTGGTGTCGTAAGTTACGCCCAAATATTGTTTCTAGTTTCCTCAATGCTGCAAGAAATAAAGGTTGTTCTCAAGCTTCGGGGAGTCCATACCTTTTAACTAGTAATAACAATAACCGTAAAAAGTTTTTGAGTTTACACAATATTTAAAAGTGTCATATTTAAAGTATAAAAAAACTTTCGATGAGCCTGAGATATCAAGAAAAAAGTAAAATTAGCGAAACCTGTGTGTCTAAGATGACTGATTTGGTACAAATAAGCGCAATTTATTAGCAGTAGATAGCAACTCTTTAAATTTAAACATTAAAAATTTATTATTTTTTCTTCTAAAAGTTGTAGTTATAATATTGTTAATTATAATTGAATTTTGTGCTAAAAAGAATTTGAAAATAGTTCAATAAATCTTTTTTAATATATCTTTGTTCGTGTTTTTAATTTTTTTTTTCAGAAATTAGTTAATTAAAGTATTGTATGGTAAGAGAAAAGTAAAACAACCTATTAATGTTAGTTATGAGCGGCCCCTCATTACTGCAACTTAATCTAAACAAAGAGATTTCTTCTCACCTAATTAGCAGACATCGACTTTAAACCGCTTATCTGAAAAGTACCATCAAAAAGTATTTTTGCTTACAACACGTATATATATATATATATATATATATATATATATATATATATATATATATATATATATATATATATATATATATATATATATATATATATATATATATATATATATATATATATATATATATATATATATATAAATATATATATATATATATATATATATATATATATATATATATATATATATATATATATATATATATATATATTTAGTTTATAAATATTTGCTGTTTATATTATAAGAAAATATAATTACAAAGAAACATTTACATACAAAAAAAGTTGGTTTATAAAAAAGACAAACTAAGAATAATGGAATTCGATGTTTATTTAGAAAAGTTGCAACATTATTTATGATGTTTAAAAACTTCATTTTTTATTAGAAACTTAAAGAAGTTTAATGATTTTACCGTATTTAAATGTTTGGTTTTTTGAAATGTGTTACATAGTTTCGGTCCACGGTATGCTATTCCATATTCAGAATACTTGCTCCTAATTCTAGGTAATTTATAAGTATTCCATTGGTTTATTCTAAGAGAGTAATTATTGTTAACATTTTTCGTAAATTTATTATTTAAGGTTTTCGGAATCAGGCTGTTATTATATTTATACATAAAAATTAAGTGTTGGTAAATATTAATTTCATATATACTCATCATTTGCATGTCTTTCATTAGCGGTTTTGCATGTTCATATTTTTTTTTCTTATATATTAGTCTGCATGCATGTTTTTGTAGAGAAAATATTTTTTAAGTTTTGTTGGTTGAGTACTAGCCCATGTAATATTAGAATAGTAAATAAAACAATGTATTAGGTCAAAATATACTAGTTTCAGAGTTTCTGATGTTACATATGGACGAATACGGTACATCAAATCAACTGTTTTACTAATTTTTGATTGAATATAGTTTATGTGAGGAAGCCATGATAAATTTTCATCAATAAGAATTCCTAAGAATTGTATTGACTCATTTTTCCAATTAGTTTATTATCTAAAATTAAATCTAATTTAATTTTAAGGGAAGGTTTCATGTTGTGATTTTTTATGGAATAGACTTTGTTTTATCTACATTAAGTGACAGTTTATTAGCCTTAAACCATTCATTGACATTCCATAATTCATAATTCATGTCAGAGTAAAGTTGCCTAATGTCGCTGTTTGATAAGAAAAGATTTGTGTCGTCAGCAAACATTATCGCGTTAAGTTTTGCTGAAGCATTATGCAAATTGTTTACATAGATTAAGAACAGCAAGGGACCTAGAATTGACCCTTGTGGAACTCCACACATAATTTTTAGTTCACCTAATTCCTTATTAATAACAAATTGTTTTCTTTCAGTGATGTAGCTTTTTAACCAATCATAGATTTTATTTATTACTCCGTAGTGTTTAATTTTTTTTTAAAAGAATGAGGTGATCAACCGTATCAAATGCTTTTGATAGGTCAATAAATAATCCTGAGTAAAGTTATTGTTTTCGAATCCTTTAGTAATTTGGTCTACTATTTCAATTATTGCGTGTTCAGTTGAACTGTTTTTTTTGAAAACTGTTTTGTATAAATAAACTATTTTCATTAAAATGTTTATAAATTCTATTATAGATTACACGTTCAAATATTTTGGAAAATACAGAAAGTACTGATACAGGTCAATAATAAGAGATTTCTGATTGATCTTTGTTTTTGTAAATTGGGCATACTTTTGGCAACTTTAGTGCTTCAGGGAATATAACTTCATTTATTAAAATTTTTATTATATGAATCAGTTTTAATAATTGTTTAAAATAACTATATTACTAGAAACGTCATCAAAGCCAGGTGATTTATTTTTTTTTAGAAAAAAAAAGGCTGTTTCATTTTTTTTTTTTTTTTTTTTTTTCGTGTTGTTTCATATATTTACAATAAAGACATATTACATTTATAAAAATTGGCTGGAGCAAGAAGAAGACAATGACTGTCTTATCACCGAGCCCCGTAATATTCTTTAAGAGAAAAGTCGCTATCGTAAAGTATTACGTCATTTAACGATTTAAGGTATAATTTGAATGTTGTGCGTGGTTATAATTTTTTTAGCAAGGTTCGGGCTAATGTTTGTAAAGTATTTGTTTAACTCATTCGAGATTTTTAAAGGACAATAAATATCAGTTTTATTAATATTTATTCTTTGAGGCAGTAGAGCCGTATTTTGTTTTTTCCCATTATATTATTAATTACATCCCATGTTTTTTTTACGTCGAACTTGTTTCTTGTAAGTTCTTCACTATATTAGTTTTTTTTAGCTTTTATGAGAAGATTTTCGTAAAACCGTTTATATTTTTTGTATATTTTTTCATTATCTTCACTTCTGTTTTTCAAAAATTTGTAAAGTTTTTGTTTATTTTTTGAAAATTTTATTAGAGTTTTATTCTTCCAAGGATTTAGTATAGTTTTTAGTTTTTAGTTTTTTTTTATTCATATAGGCACGTTTTGTTAAATATATCAAGAAATATTTGTAGGAAAATATTAAAAGCTTTATCAGTATTATCACATTTAAAAACCTAATACAGATTTTTTTATTCTATAAAGAACTGCACTTACTTAAATTTTAAATTTTAACTTTAGTTGTGTGGCTGTAATTTTGATAACTTTAGGTAATTCTATTGTTAAAAGCTATAAAACATTTTGATGACGATTACCTAGTTAATACAAACCCAATAAATTTTAGAACACGTCTAGGGTTTATAAAAGAAAAAGTAAACCTGCACACTAGACAATGGGAAAACTTCAGTAAAGCAGTATACTCAAACATTATTTCAATGTCTGTACTTTATAGATTAAAAAAAAGTTAAGATTAATATTCAGTTACTCTTTAACCATATTTATCATATTTTTACTAATCTTTAACCATATTTATCATATTTTTACTAATCTTTAATCATATTTATCACATTTTTACTAATCTTTATTCATATTTATCATATTTTTACTAATCTTTTATCATATTTATCACATTTTTAATAATCTTTAATCATATTTATCACATTTTTACTAATCTTTAATCATATTTATCACATTTTTACTAATCTTTAATCATATTTATCACATTTTTACTAATCTTTAATCATATTTATCACATTTTTACTAATCTTTAATCATATTTATCATATTTTTACTAATCTTTAATCATATTTATCACATTTTTACTAATCTTTAATCATATTTATCATATTTTTACTAATCTTTAATCATATTTATCACATTTTTACTAATCTTTAATCATATTTATCACATTTTTACTAATCTTTAATCATATTATCTTTAACCATATTATCCACATTCTATTATTTTCACCAAAAAAACACCGAGCACTTATCTAAAACACGCTCTGATATGTTGAATGGCCTCAAGACAATTCAGTAAGAACTTTTGAAATTGCTCTAGCAAACTTAATAAAATATGCTTTGATTTGAGTAGGAAAAAAAAAAGGCTGGTTGAGAACGTTTGACAGGATTTTCATAAAGAGACCCAAATCTCCAAGAAAACCAGGAGCAGAATAACTTGCTAGCGCATCTTCATTCAATGCTAGTGATTTTTATTGACATATTACAAAAGCCTCTGGAAAAATCTCTAAATCTAAAGTAACATCATTAACAATTATTATCTTTATGAGACAGGCTTTACTATTTTGCTTAAAACTCCTTGAAGCAAGGAGACAAGTAAGCAAATGACCAAAATGAAGTTTTTCTAGAATAGCGTGTCTAATTGTCTCCGCAGCTGGTCTACCAATACCCGCTGTTATAAATTATATCTTATATTTTCACCATTAGATGTAATAGGTAAGACGATCTTCAAATTATATAAGAACCATGAAAAAAAAAGATTATATGAAAAATCTAACGTATTTAGTTGAACCACGGATCACTAGCTTCTGAAGCAAGCGAGCTAACCACTGCGTTACGGCAATGTTATTCAAAGCTGACTAGCTTCCAAGTTTATTTATTACATATAACCTTGTAGTTACATATGGGTGTCTTTAAACGGAAAGAAACCAAGGGCCATCTGTATGGTTTTTAGTGATGTTCTTTTTGCTTATTACAGTAGACTAGATAAAGCATTTCACTTTTTTTTCTTGATCTCTTCCTGCTTATTGACAACACTATAGTTATAGCAGGTTTTTAATACTATATAAATTTGAAAATTCGCTACAAGATAGCGCCAATAACTCAATTTAGTTAACAATAAACAGAAAGAAAACCATTTTTTCAAAACCATACAGATTGCGCTTAGTATTAAGGTGCTCTTAGGCCCAAAGGCCTTATCATAGAGCACCACGGAAAAAAATTTCACCGCCAATTTCAAAATATCTCTTTTAAAGCCCAGAAATTTAAACCTTTTTAACCTGAACTCTAGATGACCTGATGGTTTTATCACAGAACACCGTGGAAAAGGATTTAACCAGAAAGTTCACGCCTTTGGTTAAATACCTAGAGCTGGCATTGAGTCTCGAACCTCTTTGTTCTAAGCTAAACTCTAACCACTGACTCTCTTTTCTTTTTGTTTTTTCTTGTTTTTGTTTCTTACTGTTTCTCTTAGCGTGACTAAAATTTTGAGAACCACTTTTTTTGTGAGCTTAATAGTAAAAACATTATTTTTTCAAGTGGTCATTGTGCAGAAAGAAAGAAATGGAAGTTTGAAAATAGAGATTTCCTAAGGTATCAGAGTAAAGAAATATCGTCAAAATATAAACAAAATATAAACAAAACTTGTCAAAACTTCAATTAAAAACATTCGAATTTGTAAATATTATTGATGTCAAAGCAGTCCTGTGTCAACCATTTGCTGGATGAACAAAATCTGATATCTTTTTCAAATTTTAGCTTGTGTTTTTGCAAAATATTTTTCTCTAAATGGAGGGTTTTAACAAACAAAGAAAGTGTGTATCATTATTGATACTAAATATGTAATTTTTAAGTAAATTTGTTTATTTATATAAAATGTTTCTATGAAAATATTTTATAAAGTTAAAGAGAAGCAAGAGATTCAGAGTTCAATTTGAAAAAAAAAGTGTATTTTGCGTCATCGGTAAGAAAGAAGGCATGAACTTAATAAAATCCACTTTTGCGGTGCTCTCTTACAAAACCGTTAGATTTTCTTGGGGCATCTAAAATAAAGTTGAAAAAATATTTTTTTCAATTATATTGGCAATCCAAATCAAAAATGAATTTTTAAATAAGACTTTATTTTATATTTCTCAAAATTAATAAGTCATATTTATATAGTCTTACTTCTCCCCAAAATGTTTTTTTTTTTCCCATTTGCTTACACCACTTTACCAACATTTACCCAACTTTATCTCAATGACGCGGTTCTTATAAAATTGAAGCATTTTATATTTTATTATAATTTTTATTTTATTATAATTTTTATTTTATTATAATCTGCTCTTTATTTAATAATGCAAAATTTGAAATTTGAAAATCTCCCCGATTTTTTTTTATTATAATTTTTTTTTTTCTACATATAATTCATTATGAAACATAAATTAGAAAGAGAGATAATTAATACATTTTTAAATTCATTTATTTTTTTGCGTAATTTCATATACGACGAAACGTAGATAAATTATTTTTTAATTTTTATCATTCTTTAGACACGTTTGGTTCCTGTAAAAATGGTTTGTTTTAAAGATTTTTATTTTTAAGTTGATCTTTTTAGTTTAACGCAGAAGCAAAACCGGTGGAAAGTTTTAGTTTTGTTTTTGTTAACTTGTTTTTAGTTACACATTTGTAATTCTACAATAAATGGCGTCTTTAAATTGTTCAAACTTATTTTTCAATACTAATTAACTTTAGATTTTTTATTTTTGAGCTTTTGAGATTTTTTTCAATGTAATTTTGCAGTAACAAAATATTTTTACAAAGACATTGAAGAATAATCTTAAATTTAAAATTAAAAAAAAAAAAAAACTTGATAATAAAGAGTTTAATAGTTTTAAACTTGATTAAAGTGCGGCTAGTGTACATTGACAACGCTATGTTAAAAATGTTATAATGCTTAAAAATTTACAACGTCCTACATAAGTTTTTACTATCACTTAGGCGGATATTAATAATTACTTCTATCAACTAATAAAATAAAAAAAAAACATAAGCCGTTTTAAACACTAGATAAACAAAAATTTTAAACACTAAATTGAGACTCTCGATTATGCCTTGATTACTCTAAAAAACAGATTACTTAATGTAGAAAGAAAACTTTCTAAATTAAAAAAGCGCCATTAGTAGTAATGTACGCGATATCTTTAAGGACCTTTTTACAGTCGGATTTGATACGTGTTGTGTGAAAGTTTGAAATCGCTTTATTGACGAAGAAAAAAGGACATAAATTCTTTGCACAACACCAAAAAACGTCCTAAATTTAAGTAAACATTTTGCTGCGTTCCAAATTAGGATGTTAGGGCTATGGCTAGCGCAAGGCATGTAAAATGCCTTTAGATTTATTTCTAAGATACCTGTACTCAAGAGTAGATACCTTTTATATTGGAACTGTTGTCATACCATTGTCCCCTGCAGTCTCCGATTTCATCCAACTCTTGTAAAAAACATGTAGATTTTTTTTCGTCGTTGATTTAACGTATAAGAATCCAAGAAAATGTTCTTCAATGCTTAAATTTTCATTTTCACTTTTAAAAGAAGCACTTATTGCATTCATATTAATTTTTGCAAATCGTATGACTGTTCCTTCTGACTAAGATCCGGTGTGCAGCCTATTTTTATCTTTTTTTATTTAATTTTTTAAATGTTTTTTTATTTAACTTTTTTAATTACTTTTATTTTACTTACAGGGCCATCCCGGGGGGCAAGGGATGTCTAGCCCCCCTACAAAGTTTAATTGTCGGCAAATTGGACATTGGAGTTGGCAAATTGAGATCTATGGTTGGCAGTTGACAAATGTTGGAAAACAAGGATCTTTTTTTTTTTTCAGATAAGCTAGTCGTCAAAGAAAAATTTTTTGGCTTTAGTCGGTAAAAAACAGATACGTCACCCTGAAAACTTTCAGTACAGAAATACCGGTATTGAATTCATTATTGGTGGACAATCAAGATCAACATAAATACGCAAATCTCTACATTACATTCTAGACGTATCTTTCTTGGGAAATAGTAACCGTCAAATGAATAGTAAAAGTTTATAGTGATAAAATTTTTCGAGTTATCAATAACATTTTGTATGCAAAAAACGATGGATTTTTTTGCGTTGCCACTAGAGCTAGAGTATTAAAAAAGTGAAAACAGTTATCTCGCTTGTTAATTAATTTAACACTTTAAAATAATATGTTTTTAATTTAATACCAGCCAAATCTTACTTACAAAAACCATTAAAATTTGATAAAAACGCTTATTATCATTTGCAAATTTATGTATATCGCGAGGTTTGAATTATTTTGCGCTCCACGCTCTTAAGAAATCCAGTTATTGATTGTGTCATGTACCTTAAAGTAATGCTTTTTTACAATATTGAAGCCTAAGTTATAATCAAAAAACTTGCGGAGAAAACATAAGTAATAAAATATTATATATATATATATATATATATATATATATATATATATATATATACATATATATATATATATAAATATATATATATATATATATATATATATATATATATATATATATATATATATATATATATATATATATATATATATAAAATATTGTATCAAAATATTGATACAACTTACCACCAATAAGCATGTGCGTTTTTTGCCATCCGAATAAAAATAAGATACAAAACTAAAATAAAACTAACGAAACTAACAGTTTTCATATTTGGTTTTAATCAACATTTGATTGAACTTATTTTACCCAACGTTTTAAATCAAAAAGTAGCATAGGAAAATGTCGGTCTTTTTTCATAGATTTTTTTATAATAACTGCTTTTTCTTAAAAATATTTTCGAGTTCTTGATAGTTCATTTTAATTCACACGTAGCTGTTTGGCTGAATATTTCGCTAAAATATTATAAAAGCTTTAAAAGTATGAATTAGCTAGCATTCAGTTGATAACAAGACTATAATTTAGCATAGTTTTGCACCGTAACATTTTATACTTTGGTACCGTTGCTTTGGTGAAGTTTCTTTATCTTTTATTTAATAGAAAAAAAGTTTTTTTTCATCAACAACTTTTATAATGAAAAATTTAAAATATTTTTGCAAAATTTAAAATATTATTGCATCTAAACATTTTTTAAATAAGAATTGTAGAGGAAAGAGCAAACCTATTAAAAAAAAACCCTGAAAACCTATTTTCTAGAAAAAAAACGATGCAAACAAATGTTGAAAGATTTTGATTCGCATTTGAATAGACACGTAACTAAAAATTGGTCACAGAGTTAATATCAATCAAAGAAGTGATAGAGACTTTAATAAATAAAACTTTATAGCAAACAAAGAAATAATAGAGACTGTTAAAATTGAATAAATAGATTGTTTCAAAAAAAAAAAGTTAAAATATCAAATTTATTTGATAAGCATTGAGACGCGAAAATAATAATAAAAAAATTTTCTTTAACGCAATTTTTTATACAGTGTATGTTGAGATGCCGACAAACACTGGCCGTCGGATGATGAGTATTAATACGTATTTTTGTATTAGTAATAACAATAAAACGTATTATAATAAATAATTTAACAAATACTCTGACCTAATATTATAAAATTTTAACAATATTTGAAAACAATTTACAAAATATTATCAATATTTTTTAAAGCAATCAAATGTAAATCTATCGATAAAAGATGATTAATAAGAACAAATATTTACATTAGGGTTATGACTTTTTGACTTTTTAATTTTTTTGACTTAAAAAAAAACTAATTTCCGGTGTCATAAATCGATGAACTTTTATTAGAAAACATTGAAAACATGTTCAATTCCTCTCGGTTTTAAAAAAAAGGTCACCCCGCAATTCAAATTACATTTCGTCAGTTAATTAATATTGTTACTGCTACAACTAATACGCGTGCGGCTTTCCGACAAATCATTTAAAACTTATATAGATTAGATCTTTATAACATTTTGAAAAATAATAAAATATTTTAGAAGACTTTAGAACATTCTAGAACAATTTAAAACATTCTGGAACAATTTAGAACATTTTAGAACAATTAAAAATATTTTGGAACATTCTAGAACAAGTTACAACATTCTGGAATATTCTACAACATTTTAGGCTGCTCATCTAATTTTATAGTTATTACAGAAACAACACATGGCGTCGTACAAGCCTAGCGATAGTAGCATTCAGAAGAACAAGGATGTCTGAACCAAAAATCTTGTAAAATTTGAAGACTCTCATAAAAGAAGAATGGTCCTTTTGGAAGAATATTCACTTGAAGAAAAGTGCAGAATGCCTTTCAAAAGCAAGTTATAGGACGCTACCATTTCCTTGGACCAAAAATCAAACAAAGAAAGGAGTGAATAATGGAAATTTCCAAAGAAGCCACCAAATTGTGGAAGAATAAATTGAACACTGGAAAAAAGAATAGTGTTGTTGTAATATTGCAACGAATGTTTACAGAGAAACGCATAAACAAACCTCAGTTTATCAGTTTCCAACTTAGTACTTATGTTAAAATGAATTATTCAATGGTGGGGCAAACTTTTTTAAAAACATATGCAAATAATAGTTCCTTTCGCGCTTTTTAGGTAAAAGTTCATCAAACTACAGTACAGGAGCATCGGGTCGATAAAAAGTCATAACCCTAATTTAAACATGGTATAACAAGATACATGGTATAAAAAAATGCATTATAGGCTTATAAAGTGCTAAGGAAAAACTATAAACTTGTTCAAATCACTCCTACAAGTAATCTCATTAAGAACTTTCATAATTTATTATAATTTTTTATCAAGCTCTCAGAAACATCATTGGTGAATATATTGTGGCCTGAAGATGGAATTGCACCTATAATAGTCGACTACTTAATTTTAATTAGATATTACAACATCGTACATTCTTTTTTGTTTATTAGTATAAGAGGGATTTAGATTTGAATGATATTGGAGATTTATGAAAAATCCAGACCTTTCTAATGCATCTTTATAAATAGGAGCAGTCTGTTAAAAAATTGTTTCGCTTGAAGAGCTGGAAGGAAATATTCAATTAAGGTTGGTTATTGTTTTAAAATGTAAATTAACGTACTATCAGGTTTAATTTAAAATTAAGGTAATTAATAGTTTTCATATCAGATTGAATGAAAATACTAAAGTTGTTTTATATAAATATTTGAGTAAGATAACTTTTTCCATTTTCGGACCGCTTGCGTTTTTAAAAACGGCTATATTATATCTATATAACCCAAAATCAGACTTGTTTTAAAATTTCAAAATCTGGAAATCAAGAAAAATACCATCTAACTTGCTCAATATGTACCCATGGTAACATCAAACAAACCACTCGATTTTTTTATTCAAATTTGGTCATTGGTAATAAAAATTAATAATAAAAATTTACGCGCACGGAGAATTAAAGATATATGATCTGCATCAATGGTAAAGTATTGTTCTGCGAAGGTAATGGAGTCGTTAAGTAGCTTTTCATTAATGGAAGGGTAAAAGTCAACAATGTCAAAAATAAGGAATTTTTAAAAATTTTTATCGTTGATGACTTTGAACTAATTTATTACATTTTGTGTACTATTCCACTGATTTAAATGCAAAATATTTCTAAGCTTAGCGTTAATATCTGATAAAATATGCTTACTTATTCTGCCAACATCATTCTAAGCTGGATTAATCAGACGAACGGTAGAGTTATTTGAAAAATTGGTTTATGGTTTTTTTAATGTAATGAAACAATTGGAAGAACTGTTCATATTGATTTTGTGATAAACATCATAAATTTTCAAAATAGTTTTTCCTTCTTTATTAAAGTGATCCTTTATTATAGAATTAGATTTTTTATAATTAGATGGTATATTAGGCAAAAAATTGATATATAAATATTATATTATATTGACGTAATTACTAAAATGCTTACATTATCTGCAGTTGCAAAAAGAAAAAGAATGCAGCTGCAAAAAAAAAAAAACGATTATATACTTGTAATAATATAAAATAAGATAATAATAGTAATAATAATAATAATAATAATAATAAAAAGATCATCATGCTTTAAATTGACAAAAGTATCAACTAAATCCTTGTAACAGTTTTTATGACATGAACTTTAATTAATTATTAGGATTAAAATGAAGTTAACTTATATCAATATTTTGGTATCCCCTTGATTAATTTTTCTTTAGAAAAGAAAATTGTTAACTTAAAAACGTTAATTGCACACAACTAAATAAATTTATTAAAAATAACTAAGTTTATTATAAATTACTAAGCAATTGAGTACAAATACGTTTCAAACAAAAAAAATTTAACTTGCAATCAAACATGTGTAAAACAAATTTTAAAAAATATGTAAACTTTGATTATTTATATTGCATTAATGCGTCATATGACAAACCTAAAATAAAAATTGGAACAGATAAGAAGGCATAAAAATTTGTAAACCAAGCTAAGCCGACCCGGGTCTTTCTAAGTCTATTCACCACAGACCATTTTTATATTATTTGTTGGGCCTCTTTGTTTCATTAACTTTTAGTAAACGGTAATTTGCCACCATTAACTAAAAATTCCTTTTGTTACTTGAAATTAAATTTCCTAAATATTTTGACACTAATAAAGAGGTTTCTCCCCTTTTTTTGCTTTAATGGTGGCCAGGTTAGTAGAGTTTTTTTTATTAAGAGTAATCATGTTTTTGATGAAGACCTTTTACCAAAATAATAAAATGTAAAACAATGATTTACATATATAAGAATGTTTTCTTTCTATCCTTAGAAGTGTTGCAAATACAGACTAAGCTAACTAATTAGTTGAACACGTAAATAAAACTTTAGTAACTCGATATGAAATGCGCAAAACTACAGTATTCTCCATGTTTTTAAAGGTTTTTAGTTACGATCCCCTGTCTACAAAGATCCCCTAAAATATGTACAACAAATTATTAGGCATAAAACAGATAAAATGTAAAAAAAAGTTAAACAAATAGCATATATATATATATATATATATATATATATATATATATATATATATATATATATATATATATATATATATATATATATATATATATATATATATATATATATATATATATATATATATATATATATATATATATATATATATATATATATATATATATATATATATATATATATATATATATATATATATGTATATATATATATATATATATATATATATATATATATATATATATATATATATATATATATATATATATATATATATATATATATATATATATATATATATATATATATATCTTTTTAACTAACAAAAATTTACAATAAAAAAATCAGGTTTTTTTATTTTATAAATCTTATAAATGCGTCAAAACGTAAATCTAAAATAAAAAAGTAATGAAATTATGATATCATAATAACCAAAAAAAAACCGCCACACAAATGCAGAAAATCGATTTACCTATTTATAGTAACCTATTTTGAAACTGCAGTTATTATAAACATTTATCGAAAATGTAACAGTAAAATCTGTTTCGAAGTACAAAAGCATTAACGATACTAAAAAAAATCAAGCTAAGATATAAATTGTTGTCCTGGCTTTCAGTAAATGAATAAAAGCAGTAAGTTCCAATAATAAAACTATCTATTATTCATTTTTAGCAATAGACACCAACGGGAAGCTAAGCTGTTCATCAACACAAAAAATCACAACAATAACACATAACAAAATCCAATGAAAATAATAAACTAAATTAAAATATGAAAGGCGAAATTAAAAAACCAACTGAAAGTTAACTATATTTATCTTTTTTACTAAACTTTAATAAAGTAGATTTATTTTTATATTCAATAT